AAGAATTCATCTGTAACTTTTGCCAGAAAATATTGAAACCCTTTTTTGATAAGGAGAATATAAAAATATTATCGTGTATCTTAGAGACAACACACCAAAAGATGCGTCATTTTCCGGGCTACAAGACCTATTATTTCACTTGACCCCTATATCTATCAGGGCCGAGATAATTACGAAAAAACCCCATTCCCCTATCATTATGATGCACATTGTAGCAAGAAGGGTGTTCAAACTGTTTATTAGGCGACTCTGCCTACAAATTTGACCATAAAATAGTGGAACTCATTTTTTATAGCGAGAAAAGCCACTGAAAACTAATAAAATTTACACTTTCATCCATTTTGAAGGCAGCCTTGTCGACAAATATTATAACACAAAAGGGGAAATAAATTAAGGATTAAAGTCCTTTTATACTATTTTCAGAATTTCGAAAAAATCGATTCACGACTTATTTTCGCCTTGTATCTTTTGGTTATAAATAAATGCAATCTATTGTTCCATCAAATTAGGATTCGTTCGCCTTCTAAGGCAAGCTATCGACACTCCAAAAGTTTTCACTAACCGTCAGCTAAAATTAAAAATCAGGAAAAACCCGTTGCCTAATTTGGCATAAAAAATGTGACGGATGTTTATTGCGTGGTTCCGTCCCTACTTTGTGTCCTAAATTACAGAAACACATCCACGCTCGCAAAAGCAACTAAACTGGAGGCCCAGAAACAAAACCAATGGCTCGATTCCCTTCTCAAAATTACCAACCACATCGGGAGTGATGATCGTCTCGCGGCGGTTGAAGCAGAACGTGTCGCGCAGCTTGATCTGGTCAATCTCCATGTCCAACCGGATCGGCACCAGCTCCTCCGGGATGTCCGCGTTCAGCCGGATGCGTTTTGCCTAAAAACCAAATAAAACAAAAAAAGCCTGGTAATACCTGTTCAAAATCCTCGGTGGAGTAGATGGTTTCGCGCAGCTTGAACTTGCCGCGCCCGTGTGCGATTGGGTGGGAGGCGGGGACGGCTTCGACGTGATGGGAGCCGCTTTGTACCTAAATACGTTATTTTGATCTTCAAATTCAGTGGAAAAACGCTCGGCAACCAACTAACTTTTAAGGAGCCCATCTTTTTTGTAACACAAAGGGAGAAAGTGTTTCTAAACTGTTTTTGACTATTTTTAGACGCAAAATCTTTCCAAATCTTTATTAAAAAGTACAAAATTTATGCTACACTAATTAGAGTTTTCGACCAAAATGTCAGCTAAAAATCCTTCAACGTTTTAAAGTTGTATGTGTATGTTATGTCAATAGATTCCTTGGACTTCTAGGAAAATCGGTCCCCCGATAATGCAAAAGAACCAATATTTATGTTGAAATCTAACTATTCAAACGTAATTCTGAAGCTCTATTTAAATCCGAGGAAATTATGGCATGAAAATAGTGCTCTCATTAGGAATTCGACAAAATCAAAAGTAAGAGAATTTCACAAAAAAAATGTTTTACTATTAGGAGTGGGCTTGACAAATTCAAAAGACATTAGCTGGTTGAAAACAACGATTAAAGGCTGTTTTTGCATGTGAAAAATCTAATTTCGTTATTTATAACCACACACCTGCTGGCCGCCCCATCCCTGGTTGGAGCCCTGCTTCGCCGGGTTCGGCTTCATCGGCGTGAAGCTGCCCTCGGGGCGAGGCGCCGCGTTTCCGGCCACCTAAAAAGAGAAATTATTAATAGCAAACAATCTCACCTTGTATTTCTCGTCATTTCCGGCCAGAATATCGTCAACTTCGCTCTGGCGAACGAGCCTGGAAACACAGTCAACTTCGTACTCTTTAACTCCTTACATAATATTCGTATTCAAGAAGGCGGGCGAGGCGTTGATGGCGCGGATTTTCTCCTTTTCGTCCATCGTCGCCACGCGTTTCCACATCAGCGAATATTTCTTGTAGAGGGTGCCGCGGTGGTACTTGAGGTAGTTGCCCACCTCGGAGCCGATGTAATACCTGTAAACAGGATTTTAAGAAGTCTGATAAAGCCATTATATTTCCTGAATTAAACAACTCACCGCTCTCCCCCTTCCTCGAGCTCGAAAGAGGACGGCCGAGGCCCATAGGTCGACATTTTTGCCTGAAAAAGATAGTTAAAGTTGAGAATTATAAAGAACTAACAGTAAATTTTCGAAAAAATGAGAGCTGCCAAAAACAAAATGCACAATAAATACACTTTTCGGGCGAAAAATACTAAAATGCTAGAAACATTGTTATGATTCGTTTCTCGGCCAGAAAAAATCTCGAAAAGGGAGCCGGATACATAAGGATTTTAAAGATGTATAGAAATTAATATATTTATAGAAGGCAAGGGGAAAGATTCGACACAAAAAGAAAGGAAATTAGTGAGAGTGCCGATGCGGAAATCAACACAATCCTCGAAACGCCTTAATTTTTCGCTAATTTCAAGGCTGGCTGAAATAGTTCTATACCTATAATTGAGACCCGCTTTATAAAAACTGATCTATCTTAATAAAAGCCAATATAAAAGAACAGGTCTATGATGTCTTTGCAAAGATTTGAAGGCCAGTGGCGACCCCGGGGCGGATAACGCCATAGAACCATCGAACCGCGCAGCCCGGGGGCACGCTTTAGCACTAGACCCCAAAACGGACACGCAACCATTCTCCCCCAAAAAGTGGCTCGTTTGATAAATTGTAATTTTATTGTTGAAAACCGTTTTTCAGGAAAGAAACAAAAAGACAAGCACAGAAGAAGCCTGCTCGATATTACTCCGGCTAGTCGTCGACGATAGCTCGTTTTCGTTGAAACTTAGAATTTTACGGCTTCGGACAAACATAAAGGTTTTAGAATATAACAGATCCATTAAAATAATATAAGTTTTGTAGTTTTTAATTTTTAATTATTTTGTGTACGTTTAACACCTATCGACGATTCTCCGTATATTGTACGGCCCGGAGCACGGTTTCGGATTTTTGGTGCGAAACAACCGTTAGGAAGTGTAAAGTCGAAATTAGTTTTTTTTTTGCTTTTTCTTTCAATGTGTTTTTTCGATAATAATCTTTTTGCCAAAAAGAATAAAATAACTGTAATCCCTTTTCCAGGCGGCCATGGACGATAGCGCGAAAAGCCAGCTGAAAAGCATCCCGCTCCTCAAAACAAAGGCCGGACCCCGTGATGAGGCGCTGTGGCCAAAGCGTTTGCAGGTATTTTCGTTTTTGGATGTATTTAACGCTTTGAAATAGTTAATAATGTTAGTTAGTTTAAATATGTTAGTAAATAACCTTTGTTTTCAGGAAGAGCTCGAGGCGCTGATCGCGTTCGTGACGATGAACAAGGAAAACGACAAGGATTGGTTCCACATTGAGTGCAGCGATCGCGGGGATCGTTGGTGGGTTTTATTAGTGTTTTTTTCCGGGTTCTTTAGCATTATCGGGGGTCAGCTTTTTTCTTTGGATCTAATTTTGAAATATTAATATTGGAAATGTTTCTAAATGGTTTTTTGCTATTCCGGAAGGTGGAAATTTTACAAAATTTTAATAAAAGACTCAGGAATCTCGAGTTTCCGTCCAACCATGTCCGATTTTTGACCGAAAGTGAGACTTTTTTAAGTTTTGAAAAGGTTTTAGATAGTTTATCTAGTTTACGCATAGTTATTTTTACTAAAAACTCTATTAAACACTTTCTATTACGTTTCTAGACATTTCTGCGCTCAACATGACCCTCTTTTTCAGGTACGGCAAGTGCTGGACGTTCTACAACAACGTGAAATACGAGTTTGCCGTCGAGTTCGACATCCCGATCACCTACCCGACGACCGCGCCCGAAATCGCACTCCCCGAACTCGACGGGAAGACGGCAAAAATGTACCGAGGCGGCAAGATCTGCCTCTCCGAGCATTTCAAGCCGTTGTGGGCGCGGAACGTCCCGAAATTTGGTATCGCCCAGGCTTTCGCGCTTGGTCTCGGCCCGTGGTTATCTGTTGAGATTCCGGATCTCGTCGAGAAGGGCTTGATTACACCCGCTTAATCTATTTCTACTTTTTTAGATGAATTAAATTATATTCCTTCCAAATGTCTATACATTTCGATGCTGACTTTGAAGAATTTATCTATCCGTAAATGTTTCAATATTTATGAGTCAGCTTCCCCTTTTGCCATCCAATTTTTCGCTGTGATTCCTCCAATCGTATCCAAGCTGTGTGTCATTTCAAAATTATTTTTCTTTTTTTGTTCATTCCAGTTGTTTTGGGCGCATAAATACGTTATTCAAAGGAGAATTAATTTTGTGGGGCACTTCGGAAAGCCACAAATTTGAGCAACATATTATTTTACAGGCAAACCTCGGCCAGGAATGGAGTGCTGCTCACTGAAAGCAGTACCTTAAAAATCGGTCTTTTAACGCGTGCGTTAGGCATCTAATTACGAAAACATACGTAAAAGAAGCTCGTACCCTCCAGCAGACGGCGTTGATCAGGGTCTGTCGAAGAAGCGTAGAAATTTTTTGGTGTTTATCCGTATAATATTTAGGAGTTCTATCGCATTATCGGCGGGGGATCAATTTTTTATAAGTCTAGCAATGCCTAATAACCTCATAGATAGTTGTTCAATAATGTTTTTTAACAAAATTTTATTAAACTATGCCAAAAATTTGAAACTTTGATCGAAAACGGCCATTTTGGGCGAAAATACGATTTTTTTGTATTTTTTAATAATTCTGTAAAGTTTTTACAAAACGAGTTGATAACACAAAACCTGTGGTACCGTTGGCGGGTGTCTATTTTGTCGCAGAAACAAGGTAGCGTATAATCATAAATCCGTAGGGTATAATATTGAGAGAGTCTGGGAGAGAGAGCGAGAGAGAGAGAGAGAGAGTGAGTGAGACAGAGTGCCCTCGACTAACTTTCACTTACTTATATACTTACTCGGTTGAGAAGGAGGGCATCAGCCCCGTGGGTGCCGTTCCCCGACTTTCCTTTGTACAACCCCCGGCAGACGGTGTGGGTCGTATAAAAGCGAGGGCGGCCTGTTGGCCTGCTTTCTATTCTGCGCCCCACACACAATGGTCTACAGTAGGCTGGGCATCGTCGTGTTAGTTGTTATGGCAGGTAGGGTGGAGGGCTTTGTTCGTAGTATGGAGCTTTTAAAGGATCTCTGCTAGCTTGCCCGAGCCTGTTTTTCTGCTTCTTACCTGCAATCGCGCCAATAAAAAAAAAATAAGGACAATCCAGAAAGGTTATGTTTCAAAAAAATAATAAGAATAGCATAACATTCTTCGCCTCGAGAATAATAGCATTCTCTGCTCGTTTGCCCGGGTTTAGATTCCCCAAGCCTCCCTGCTAGCCTGCTCCGCCTTTCTTCTGTTTTTGAATTTTTATTTTTTGGATCTTTATTTATTTGTTTATTTTATTTTATTTTATTTATTATTTAAAATTTATTCGCAGTCGTGTGCGAACTCGAAATCTCAGAAGGTAGCTAAGCGGAGATTTTACAAAAAGAACACATTGTAGCACATCAATCTCCAAAATTTGCCATCAACAAAAAATAACAAAATCGAAGCTTTATGTTTCAAAAAATCACATCATATATGAGGGCATTTTTGGAATAATGTTCAACACCGATCGTGTTCAAAAATACGCTAACAATACCCTCGCGGGCCACCAAAAGGGCGCACCTCCCCCCCATCCCACTGCTGCCCCACTGGCCTAGTGGCTAGCGCGTCGGTCTTTGGGGCTGAGGGACGAGGGTTCGACCCCCGCCCATGTCACCTCCCATAACTACCCACACTCCCCGTTATGGGGCTTGGTGAGCTTGCTGGGAGACAAAGCATCTGCCCCGATTCTAGGGATTCCGGCTCATCTGGGACCCCCAGGGATGTGGGGTGATATTTTTGGAAAATTTGGGGGTGGCTAGCAGAGATTGTTGAGGAAGAGGAGAGGGCAGGTTAGCAGAGAATGTCGAGGAAGAGGAGAGGGCAGGCTAGCAGAGATTGTTGAGGAAGAGGAGAGGGCAGGCTAGCAGAGATTGTTGAGGAAGAGGAGAGGCTAGCAGGGATAATTTAGGAACCTTTTTTGATCTGCTAGTTTCAGAATGCCAGCACCTGAGCCCAAATACCCCGTTTCAAACGCCGGATACGCTTCCGGAGCCTGTATTTGGCCGTGGGCACGGCCCGATGGATAGGCGAGAAGGTGAGAATGATTTTTACTTTTTAAAGGGGCTGAAAAGGAACGCAACATGCGTCAAATTTTGCTCGTTAAAGGGGCTCCGAAATCTGGTCCACGGCCCCCTGTTGTGATTCCTGGCAAATAGCCAGATGCGGCCGCAACGCGACCGCGCCGCATGATCTTTTGCCCCTGTTTGGACGCGAAAACGCTTAAATTTAAAAATTCTGATACTATTTTTGGAATCCTCAACGAATTTTGATCATTATAGACTTTTAAATTATGAGAATTGATCAGAGAATCACTGAGATCGATAGATTGGGTGTCTTACAAGGAATTACGACATGTAATCGCCGCGCACTCAATATGTCGTTTTCGTCCCAAAAAGAATTTGGTTTTTCTCAAACATTTTACGTTTTTTCGCAACGAAGTCACTTTTCTGGTAGTTCTCGGCAGTGACCCTTTCGTTTTTTGACCCGTAGGTTCAATCCCCGCACGGACGAATTTTGACTTCTGAACCCCTTTAAACATCTCTGTGAAATTTCAATATTGCGTTGAACGGCGACATTTCGCATCAAAAAATTTGGGGATTGTAGAGCAAGCTGAACAACATTGAACTGTATTTTTAGTAGTTTTTTAAAGGGACTTACAAGGTAAGAGAATCCTCATTTGTGGAAACCCGCTTTAGAATTTCCTTGTTTCCTTGATCACTAGGGCATCAAAAATTTTCCCTATTAATTGGCATAATGCATGCGAAATAATAAATCTACATTTCTTCATTTTTGAAAGATTTAGAAGGCCCAAGACGCGAATTCGAGGGCCCACCACCACGTGGGGCTCCTAGAGGTCATCCTCCACATTCCCGGGAGCGCGAGCCCGGCTCAAGGGGTAAACGTTAAAAAATTGTGTTTTAGAGAAACGGGTCGGGGGATGAGTTGTTGCGGGAACAATCAATCTCGGTATTCAATTATTATTATCTCGAGTTCGAGTTCTAGAGCCTCTCACCGGATTACGGTATTAAAATCGGTCAAAACTATTATAAAAGCCAGGTTACTGTAATTCGATTTGTGACAAATTTTTAAAGCTTATGAAGTAATGTATGTTTCAAGTTTTTTATATATAAGTTTTTAAAGTATACAATTTTTCAGAGTAAAAGGCAGTAAAAAAGGCGCATGGTTTCGGAATTTTAGGAAATTAAAAATGTGTTTCTGATTTTTCTAATAAAAAATGTTTACGACTTAGCACAATAAAATTTTCTTTTGTGTTTATGTGTTTTCGAAGCCTAAAAAATTAAAACTGTTTCAGGTTTTTCAATATAGCCGGGCCGGCTCAATAAAAACGGCCTTTTTCAACAAGTTTTATGTTTTTAGAAGCACCACGAGAAGGACCCCAGGATCGAGGCGGAAACAGAGGTCCCGGGCCAAGGAGAGGTGAATTTTCTAAGATCAAACTTTATCTATGGTTTGAATGGCATTTTCCATATGACGAGTACTTAAAAAAGCTGATAAAGCCGGAAAATCTATGAAACTCAATGCCGCCACTAATTCCCGTTCTCTATAGATCGCCTAGCCCCGGGCCGCTACCTAGCGCTAAATTTGAATATTATGGCAGGTGCGCGATTTTTTTAATTTAAATGGGGGGAATGGTGATAAAAGCTACAAATATATAAAAACTCTTATAAAAATATTGAACTGATGACTGAAAAAAATGTTTCGAAAACTACTAGTTGATCAAATTTCGTGTCACTTTTGTGTCAACCGTTGCCTGAAAATAATGAACGCTGATAATGCTAATAATAAAAATAATATTGGTCATTATAATTCGTATTATTTCCATTTTTCAGCTCTTAGATAATTCTAACGATTAATGAATTCAGAAAGTCGAACAGCGCTAGACACGCAAAATAATGCGTACGTGAAAAATTCTTCAAAAGGTTTCTTAATAAGATTAAAAATGTATAGAAATTATAAAATGTTTCAAACTTCACTGAGCCGACTGATCAACCATTTTAAAAATGAGCATGCTGATTTCAAAAGAAAATCAAATGTTTTGCCTGTAGAAAAAGAATGTTACCATCAATGATAGAGAAGGCTGTTTTTAGCAAATAGTAATTCGCCGGACCATCCCTTTATTGCTTCTTGCCTAGAAGAGACCTTTTATTTTTTTTTGTTTTTTTTTGTAGACAATCTTTTATAATTTTACAATATCTATTGAATCGCGCTTTTTAGAAACAAAAAATTTTCCGTTTTTTTAAATTTTGCGTGGTTAAAAAAAAAAGATGTTTCTTACCAAATGTAGGCCACGGCGTTTCGAGGCGCCTTAGTTGTAATACGATTTCCAAAATACAAATAATTAAAAATAACTTCTTGTTTTGCCAAATTCACGGGAAAAAGAATTGCGGCCTTTTGCAGGCTTCTACCCACCACAACGCGGCGGTTCAGGTGAGCGTCCAGAGGCGCACGGCGGATTCGCCTTTCTATCGTACCCGCCGGGTCGCGGCTTTGGGCCGCCAAGGGGTAATTGTTTCTAGTTTTTCCCATTTTTTTCTGAGGGCAAGAATTATTAAAAAAGTAGTTTTTGTAAACTAATGAGGTCTTCCATTGGAAAATCTAATCGAATTTTATGGAACCGTGAGGAATTGATGTTGTACTCCAACTAAAGTAACTATAGTAATTTTTGAATGATGCTAGACACAGCGGAATCCTT